CGAGAAAAGGAAGAAATACCTTCAGAACAGTTTTATCGAGGAATCACTCTAAAAATGGGACTCCACTGTGATAACCCACTGTGTTTGCATTCAGGCTTCTTTGGTCTCTGCTTGCCATTTCAAACTTGGACTTCTAAGAAATAAAAATTTAAAGCAGAAATTGGAACAGTTTGTAAAACAGTGTATTTGCTGCTTCACGTAGGCAAGTGACACCTGCTTTCTTACAGAGTCCTGGAATCATGGGATGCATCAGGCTGGAAGGGACCCCAGAGCCCACTCTGTCCCAACTCACGCCGTGAGCAGGGCTTCCCACCCACCAGCTCAGGCTGCCCAGGGCCCATCCAACCTGGCCTTGAGTGTCTCCAGGGCTGGGGCACCACAGCTTCTCTGGGCAGCCTGTGCTGGTGCCTCTCTGCCCTCTGAGTATAGAATTTGCTCTTAACAGCTAATCTAAGTTTCCCTCTTTTATTATAAAGCCATTCCCCCTTGTCCTATCACTATTACGCTGTTTAAAAAGTTTGTCTCCCTCCTACTTACAAGTTCCCCTTAACTACTGGAAGGCTGCAGTGAGGTCTCCCTGAAGCGTTCTCCAAGCTAAACAAGCCCAGCTCCCTCTGCTTTTCTTCACAGGAGATGTACTCCAGCCCTCTGACCATATTTCTGTCTTCCTCTTGCCTTGCTTCAGCAGCTTCACATCCTCCTTGGGCTGCGAGTCCCAGGCTTGGACACAATACTGCAGGTGGGGGCTCATGAGGGCGGAGCAGAGGGGGGCAATCACCTCCCTCACCTGGCTGCCATCCATGTTTTGTTGCAGCCTGGGATACAGTTGGCATCCATAGCTGCAAGAACACACTGCTGGCTCACATCCAGCTTTTTGTCCAACCCAAGACCTTTTCTGCAGGGCTGCTCTCAGTGTGTTCTTCCAGACTGTACACATATCCAGGATTGCCCTGACTCAAGTGCGGTGTTGCACTTGGCTTTATTGAACCGCATTACGTTCTCATGAGCCCGCTTTTTAAGCCTTTCCAGGTCCCTCTGGATGGCATCACAACGCAAACACAAAGGAGAAATGGGAAAAATGAGAGTGAAAGCATTAAACAAAATGGCATATAGCTTATTGAGGTGTAAATGTAATTGACGTTTTTGAGTTAGGAATGTTCTCCATCCCTCCCTTCCATTGTGTCAACTGCACCACTCAGCTTGGTGTCATCAGCAAACTTGCAGAAGATGCACTTATTCCCATTGTCTTTGTCGCTGATAAAGGTATTGCAGAGCACTGATCCCAAGACTGACCCATGGGAGTCATACTTGTGACCAGCCTTCAGCTGGATGTGTGCACAGATCCATTGACTCCAACCACCTGGCTACGACCATCCAACCAATTCTTTATTCACCAATTAGTCCAGCTTTCAAATCCTTCTCTCTCCAATTCAAAATTAACAATGTGGACCGTGTTAAATGCCTTTCACAAGTCCAGGTAGATGACATCAGTTGCCCTTACTTTGTTCATCAACATCATCACTCCTTTGTAGAAGGCCATAAAAATGTAATATGTGATAAACCTTATGTTTTTTAATGTCTAGTATGAAAGCTGCAGTGGAATCTTAATGACAAGTCCTTATTTTGTGGTGAAAATGATCTAAAAAGGTTTTATTTTTTATTGATTGTGCTGCTTGTAGAATTATAACAGCAGACAGTTTTTAGAGTTTTTAGCACCATTAATGTAAATTAAATTTAATTCAAAAAAATCAAGTTGGCAGTTAGAGCTATTAAAAATAAGGAACGTTCCACTTTTCAGATGAACTTTTCACCATTAAGCATTGTCCAAAAGGAGCTCAAAGAAAACATAGGACTTTGATTCAAAAGTTCATTGAACTTCATGGCAAGAATACTATTTGCTGTGATATACTGGCCTTTATACTGTACTTAAATGAATATATTAGACTAGGAGTTCCTTGGAGTTTTATTTGTGGAAGATAATTGCCTGCATGAGGTACCAATTCAAAACCTGATTCATGTCTGCAATGCAAAATTTTTATAGAGTAGAATATGCACCATTTGCAATTTTTATAGTTAATTTTAAATAAATAAACAGGCACTATGCATAGGCTGTGCAGGCCACAAATAGTCCACAGGCAACTTTCTTTGGCACGCCAATGTTTTTGTTCCTTCATTACAAGATAAAACAGTTTAGTCCTTGAGTGCCTACGGGAAGATGCTGAATAGGAAGTAGAGAACTGTAAAAGTAGGAGAAGTAAAGATGGGGCCCCTGTGAGTTGAAGCTGTTAGGGAAAGTGATGTTATCTTTGCATTTATGGGTTAGTGGTAGAATTTCTTTTTCTGGAGGAGTAGATCAAGCTTATGCATTATTTAAGGGCACTGTCGATGAGGCATGTTTACATATTTAGATTCTGGACAATGTAAAAGCCAAAAGTCATTGTAATATTCGGGGTAATTCTTTTCCTTTCTTTATCTCAGCTTCTATATTGTAAGTGCCTAAAACAAAATTGGAAAGACTCAAAGCAGCTGTGGAGTCAGCACCTGTAGTCAGATGTTAAATGTAAATGATGGAAGTGACCTCATAAAATGATAACATTTGTTCTGTGTTTTCAGAAGTTAAATTTTCAAATTACAAAATTACTTACTTATTGAGCGTGTTATCAGAAGTCATATAAAATCATTGTCTCACTTTCATTTGTAATTACAAAGCAGCGAGGTTATTACTCTTAAAGCCAGGGGCTTATTGGAGTTTTGACCTTCACAGCTCACCAAATAGAGGATTTGGAAGTTACTGATTTGTATCTAATTGGGAAGGAAAGAGGAGAACTCTAGTTAATCATGCTTACATTCGAATGTGTCCCTGGGTTTTGTTTTTATCAAATTGAAAGAAAATATATGTTGCACTGAATTTGAATCAAAAGATATTTTCGATCTTTAAGAAGGCTCCTATTTAAAATAGAAAGGAGGCAAACCATGCCAACGTAACTCTTGCCACTTTTCCCCTAATTCTTTTCATTAAGTCAGCTGGTATGGCTAATCTGTAAAATCATATGTTTGTCTCAGATCTTTGTCAGATAAAACAGCAATTTTGAGGCAGGTAGTAACTTTGATTGTGTTCACTGAAAAGCCTGATTTTATTTGAACAAATAGTTTTGTCTTTTTTTTCCTAAATCGTCTAGCAATTTATTCTGTTCAGTCTATGAAAAGTCCAATGTGAGGATTCCCGAAGCACTAGAGATCTGATTTTGACTGATTATAAATATTTTTTGGTCTATAAAGAAAATTGTTAGCCTTACCTTCCCCCAGTCTTAAAGAGGAGCATTTTTCAGAGTTATCTTGATGTTGCATATGAGGTTTTCATGACTTCTTTGGTAATATTGGCAAGTACAATTATGTAGTTATTGTGTTTTGTCTCAGGGTGGATGAAATGATAGCTGTGATTTTCAAGAAATAGGAAAGAAATGAAAAATTAGTGCTGTTCTTGTTTAGACAGAGGAGACGGAGCGAGTCTTCAACCAAAATACAGCTGCTGGTATTACTGTGCTGGAATATCTTATTCACTTCTCTTCCAAGAACAAGCAAACAAAACAAACAGAAAACCCCTATGTATGATATAATCCATACAGTGCTGTTTTTGGGAGTGGGTTCTACTTGATTCAGGGACAGCCAGGCATTTTTCTGCAAAATCTCAAATGCAGAATCTCCCTAGCTTCATGGCAGCAGGGAGGCAGCTTGTCTTATTTCTTCACATAATTTTGAAGTATGCATGAAGAAACTGTTTTCTTTTAGTTGTTTAATCATTCAGTGGTTGATTCTGCAGGCATGGAGGGCTACATTGATTTGCAATTGATTCTGTAGTGAATACACTGCAAGTAAGTATAGCACTCCTTAAGTGAATGTAAGATCATCTTTTTTTTTTTCAGCTGTTCAGTTTTGGTTTCAGAGATACATATTTATATCCTTATTCTGAAAATGACTTCTGCTTTCATCGTGAAATGTGGTGGATTTGTCTACTCAGAGTTCATTTCAGGACTGGAACATTTAGGAACATCGTTGCTTTTCAGTGAAGGGCAGAATATATTCCAGGGAAGTCTTTCACTCTCTTTGCTGTAATTATGTGTTCAGGTTTATGAAAAAGCATGAATCTAGATGTCCGCTAAGTAGTTAAAATTAACATTCTACTGATTGATAATTCAGCATTTGTTTTATTTATCTGCACTTGCTGTATCTCTGTAAAGGAATGGAGGAGAAACCTTGTGTATGAATGTGAGCATCCCGTCCAAATCTGAATGTTTTGAAATAAATCTAATTTGGAGCAAAGGTTTTAAGAAGAAGTCATTAACAAAAGGTTTAACTGGATGGTTTTACAGCTGATTTCTGCTTCAGGCACTAAGATGACATGTATATGTTTTTTGCTTCAGTTCTGTGCTGAGGCCTTGGGAGATTCTGTATTTGTTAAATTTATATTAATTATAAATCAGAGAGCTGTATGACAAGTTGGACTTGATTAGATTCTCTAGAAAAGTGCAGCTAGCCCTAACGTGCGGAGATCTACAGCTGCTTTGTATTCCTTCTCCACCCTATAGCAGAGCAAGTTTTCTATGAAATTTCTATGTTTTAATGATCTGTGACTATATTTTTGGTGTGTGTCACTGGTGACGTGAGTATTCAAATTGAATCTGCTGTCAGTGCATGCAATTTGGAGTCACCAGAGTTGAGGATTTGAGGTGAGGTCTAGCAGACCCCGAGACTGTGGAGGGGGAAATCATTGGAAAGAGGGTTGGGAAAAGCGCCTGCATTTCCTGACAGTCATGACAAAATGATTCCAGCTGTTCTTGAAAGACATTTAATTCTGTGCTGAAAATTGCTATTTTGTATATCTTCTTTAGAATTTAAATGCAGTGTTGTTTATTTCACATTATTATTTAAGTTCTTCTTGTAAAATTGTTAACACTCTACACAGCTTTGGTAATGCTCTTTTTGTTCTGTAATCCTTTCAGGTTGTGCTGGTTAGATGGAATGAACCATTTCAGAAATTAGCAACTTGTGATGCAGATGGAGGAATATTTGTTTGGATACAATATGAGGGCAGATGGTCTGTGGAGCTTGTAAATGATCGTGGGGCACAGGTTGGTATACTTGTTTTCTCTTCAGTCCCAAATTATCAAGTCCTGAGAGACAAAATGAAAAAGATAATGAAAAAAAACACAGGAGAAAATGGAACTTTTCTTTAATGAATGGAGTATGCAAGAAGTGTCTTTGAAAGGACAGCTGCTTTACCTGACTGCCATAAAATCAGTTCCGCTGGACTAGTAGTTGCTCTGCTTAGCTCTGTGCGATGCTCTATTTTATCAAAACAAAAATAAATTACTACATGTCTAACTGTTTTCTTATCTTTGATATACTAAGGTAAGCGACTTTACATGGAGCCATGATGGGACTCAAGCACTCATCTCCTATAGAGATGGATTTGTGCTGGTTGGTTCAGTCAGCGGACAAAGACACTGGTCTTCAGAAATAAACTTGGAGAGTCAGATCACATGTGGCATATGGACTCCTGATGACCAACAGGTAATGGAGCTTTTCGAGGCTGTCAATTTTATCATGTTGGCTTGCTGTAGATTGCACTTCTTTAGAAGTTATTAAATAAAATGGTCACTGTAATAACGGTTTCCCTCAAAACTGTTGCTCCCACAGATAGTGAGAATTTAACTAATCCCATGATTCTCATTAGTCAGATATGCTAATGTACCAAGTTACCTATCATCACCTTTCACCCCAATTCCATGGAGCCTTAATCAAAGTTTCAGATAGGAATCTGTAATCATACCCCTAATTTGTTGATGCAGCTATCTTGAAAATATACATTTGGGCAGAGATACAGCATGGACTATTAAACATCTGAGCAGCTGCTTCATTATAGAGCCGCTCAGTTTGCAGTTGCAGCAAAAGCAGTTCAACGGACACAGTTACATCTGCCTTCACATGAGCAAATGGACTGAATTGATCCTGAGTGTCAGAGGACATCTCAGCCTTATGCAAAATACATAATTTTTAAGAAGGCTGTTGTTTTAACCAAAGCGTTGAGTCCAAAACTTGCTGAGCTTTGATAAAGTCAGTTAAAAAATTCTTTACTGCTTTTCTAATGAAGCATATCATATTGATCACATCACCATTTATAATGGAGCTCGAGCTAGCCTGTTGGTTTCATTCTCAGAATTTGCAATGGCTCTTTGCCATTCAGCTGTTGACCTTCATGCAATGGTCTTTCCTTCCATCTACTTGCTGTCATTACAGTTAATGTATGCATAATATAGTACTGTAAGAAATGATAAGAGTAAGATAGTGCAAAGATCATTTGTAATATGATCAAGACTGGATTACTTTGCTTCATTTTACACTTTCATGACAACATACTAGTTCAGGACTCAAGGTACCACTGGCTTTAATTTAGAATACTATAAATCCATGCAAGATATATTCAGGGTTATTTTGGGAATTGCGGGTAGAGTATAGTAGCACTAATAATATGCATTTCCAGAGCAGTATCTAATAATTTTAGAGTGCTCTGCAAAGAATAATGAATAAATTATTTCAACATAGCTCTTTAAAGCCAGGGAGTCTAACTGCCTCTTTTTGAATCTGGGGAGATTCAAGTCTTGACAATAAATAATTTACTCAAGATCAAGAGGAAAAGTCAAGCAGCAGAAGTAGGAGAGAAACTAAGATCTAATAGCTCTCAGTCCCATGTTTTAAACATAAGGCTTCTCCATTTGTGTGTTTCTCAGTTGTAGTTCACTGCTGTATTTAGAACTATCTTCACTTGAGTGTTTAATTTGGGATGACGGAGTGCCTTTGATTCAAATTAGCCAATATGTTTGTTCTTTCTAAACTGGATACTCTTTAAGTGCTTATTCCAGAAAACAAACACTTGTTCAGTGTCCAGATAAGCGCATATGAACATAATGGCCACTTCCAGCTGTGTGAAAATTGCTTGCTTGAGTTACGAGATTGTGTTGCTGACAAACTCACTGAAACAGATACAAAAACCAGCTACAGACTTTATATTGCTCTGCACAATTCTCTTAATGATGGAGTTTACATGTTAACTGATGATGAATCTTTGTACTGCTCTCCAGAGTTGCTGAAAAGATCCTGTAATATGTATTAAGATGTATTTGTCTCCAGAAGCACAAGGAAATAGAATTCTTTGAGGTTCTAGGAGAGGCTTTGCTCAGTTCATACCAAAAATAGAAATTTGGGTGAAAAAGAACTTTGAATATATTGCACACAAATAAGCACATACAAAGATGGATACCCTTACTAGCTTATCTCCCTATCTGATTTCTCTCCTGATGTGTGTCTGAAAATGAGATAACAGTATTCTAGTCTAGCTTAGCTTCAGCATCTTCCCTATTCATGTGATCTGTTGCCTAACACAGTGAGTGAAAGATAAATGTGAACATTTAAATTTATATTTTCATAATATTATTTTTGTCACATCTCTGGCACCATGAGAACTGCTACCGAAGATATTCCTGAAAAACACAGCACCTCATAACACCACAACTTTTGACAGGATTAACTTGGAAAGCTAAATTTCCAAGGGGAGTGTGTTGTTCGGTATCATTTTACTATTGTCCTCATAAAAATGTGCTCAATGTAGTCTGTCCTGTCACTCACTCTTTAGTTCTCAATCATCTGCAGTGCACGTCTTCCTCTTTGCTTCCAGCCTCATTTTCTATCTTTTCTCCCATCTGTTTGACACCAGCAGTCTATCACTGACTGCTACAGCTGCTCTCTGGCAGCTCTGCAAGAGGAGAATTTCCTACCACCATCTTTCTGTTGGAGGAGAAGAATCACTGGAGCTACAGTTATTGCTAACCACCTTCTTGTTTTGACATAAAGGTGAGTTAGCAATACTTACATCAAATACAGCAAATGGAAAGTCAAACTTTTAACTGTGTCTGTGGTGATAATGATAGAGCGTGTGTGGCCTCTGGATTTGTTACCTTGCTGGGTTTTGATATAGACTTGTAAGTAAAGCATCTGAGGTCGCGCCTGATGTCACCTGTGCTTGAAACTCTGTAGTTAACATTTTTCAAAGACTTCCAGTAGCCTAGATTTGGGATGATGGCTAGAGAGATGGCCAAGGTGGATATAATCCTGTTGAAGTTGAGCATAGAGCTGTATCTTGAAACTAATTTGCCCTGAGGAAGTCAGGACAGTCAGTACAACCTGATTGACTGCAATACTTTCTTTCTCAGATCAGATGATCTTTTCATTTAGGTCACTGGCAGATTTTTACTGTACTTCACACCTAGGTCTTGACTCTGGATATTGGGCTGTGGGGTTCTTTAGCTAATTCAAAACATAGGCCTTTTGATTGTAAATCTTTGTGTTTACTGCAGAGGTCTAAAATTGAATTTTGTCACTTCCATTATATTTCTGTAATCCTGCTTGTGTGGAGAGGTTTCAGTGTTTCCTCTTCTGATACTCTCTATAACCAGAGCACTCTTCTGGCCAAGGCACAAAGACTTGTAATACCAATGGGCTCCAGAGAATAATAATCAAATACAACAGGAAAACTTTAGAAGACTGGATCCTCTGTATCTTGAGTGGAGTTCCACAGTCGTGTTAAACTTGAATAAATGGAGATCACTGAGGACTGTGACCTTCCTTTCTCTCTTTTGAATTGGTTTTCCAGGGCTATAGGAGGCTGTAGAGCCTACTTCCTCAGGGTGATATGGAGTATGTTTCTGCTGAGAAGGTTCACCTAGGATCATGTAGGGATGAAAAATAGGTAGGAAATGTTGGATAACACAGGAGAATTCATACTGGAGACAGTTCTGTGGTGTTGTACCATGCTTGCTTGCAGAGAGAGGGCATGCATATCAAGTAGATTGAATGACTTCCCAGGTGAGAAAAACTTGAATTTCTTCTAGCCTAAGGGTTTATTTATAATTACAGAAGCAATGTCAATAAGTAACTGAGGATTTTTCCTAAGCTCATAAGTCATGTAAAATATTTTCCCAGTACTTCACCTCCTCTTCTGTATGTTTGCTCAGTCCCCTGTGACAGTATTCTATGAACTTTTGCTGCCCTTGGGCCATCCTTTCCCTCCCAGATTTTACTTGGCAAAGAGGCTTACCTGTATTCATGATGAAAGAGGAGCATAGTGTCAGAGGACTACATGGGAACTGTGAAGGAATGGATCATCCTCATGTTTATAGCAATGCAGTGTAACTCCCTGGACTTCACTGGGATTGTTTCTGCTTACTACTGTGTGTGTGAAGGAAATCAGAAGTAAATCACTCTCTTGTAGAGGGTAGCCTTAATGAAAATGAATATATTTTATTAAATCCTGGATATCCCAAGAGGTGTTATTGATTTATTTTTGTTCCTTGTATCTCAGCTAGTGTAACTTAATAGACTTTTCTAATAGTAGTAAGGTTCCTTTCAGACACTTATTAGAATTCTTTTTGACCAATGCATGACAGACAATGTGTGAGTGTGAACTTCACCACAGCACTTCCTTCAGTTTCCTTTGGAATTAAGTATGCATGCAGCTAACGAGTTTGATTTGCATCCTCCCAGACGCAGTGTTAACTGTTGTACATGGTCCCATCGCAATTCAATGTATGTTAAAACTAAGAGCGGGTGAATAAAAACCCTACTTTGAATCTGATCTGTGCCTAATTACGTAAAACACTGCTCTTGGTAGAAAGCACTGCTCTTGGTGGAAGAGAAAAGAAGTTCAATTAGGATTAGCTGTGTTGTGTACTGTAAGGTCTTGTAAGGCAGAAAAACTATGTTATGGAAGAAAAACTATGAGACCAATGGTGGATGAAATTGTTTTGTCTAAAAATGTAGGGTTCTGGAAGTCTGTGTCCTTTTTAAACCATTTGTAGTTTGTAGAAGTTCTGCAGGAAGGCATTTTCTATGCTGTTAGTCACTCTTGCTCCCAGTGCTTGCCACCCCTACTCCCAAGGCAACAACAAAGGGTTCAGTGTCTTTCCATAATGAGCACGAAGCAGGACAGGCCTCAGTGCCCATCTTCAGCCGTGAGCCCCAGCACCGCAGAGCAGAGCCATGGACCCAGGCAAGAGCTCACATGAGGGAGGAGAGATCTGTGAGATCTGTTGAGCTAATAAATCCCTTGGTGTCTTATGTATCAGTACTGGGCTGTGCCAAGCGACTAATCTGAGATACAGCAAAACTCTCACTTGGAAATTATGCAAGCAAAATGGCCGTCTCTGTTCTTTGACGAACACAGCAGCATTGTTACATTCCCTTTGTTCTGCTACTGGCAGCTTTCTTACTGTCTGCATTTGCCTCCTCTCTGTGCACAGGGAGTGCCCCTAGCTGAGGCCAATCGTTCACCAAGGTGACTCCCACCTCTGCTCGCTGACTGTGCTCACCTTTGCCTGCTCTGGGCAGCCTGATGGGGGCTGTGCTGCGGCAGCCTCAGCAAGGTGAAGGTGGATTACTGCTGACCCTCATGAGGCGTCAGTCTGAATAGTGACAACTGTGAAGTAACCTTATAGCATGACATTTAGGCATGTCAGTAT